CCCAACCCATACCAGACATCGCCCTCATTTAGTTAGTAGACAACCTTCCATCGCACTCAGAGAAAATGAATAAAGTAAAAAAAGTGAAGAAAGACCACGGAAATGTGAATTTCTCCTAGCGCTTCTTAAAAATAACTGGCTTCTTAGGATAAGCTCATCCTGGTCCTAGAAACTTTCAACTTTTCCTACTTATGCAAAATTATAGGTGCTGTTACGCACAGTTTGCTTGGTGCGGGTAGTGCTTGGGATTTGCACGCGCGTGAAGTGTGGGGTAGTTTTATGACAAATTTCAACTGTTAGTTGTTAAAAGGGTTAGCCGAAGAATTGTTTATAAAACTTCTTAACAGGGAGAAATTAATCTGTAGCCGTAAAATGGCCAAAATTTTATCCTTAAGCCGTTGAATAACCAAACTTTTTAAGTCTGTTAGCCGTAATAGCAATCACCCCATTGAGACCCTAATGTATCTCTTGTAGTAAAGAACTTTTGAAAATATTGTGATATGATCGACAACATGAAATGGTAGTGGTATCTTTAAATGATAAATATAAGGTTTGCCTTAAGCTTGGCGGTGTTCTGTCACAGTTAATGAGAACATTGGCACTTACTTTGTCTTTAAGAGAAGTTCGTTATTTTTTCAATAATTTCTCTAAATTTGCACGCGCGTGAAGTGTGGGGTACTGTGGTGACAAATTTCAACTGTTAGTTGTTAAAAGGGTTAGGTGGAAGAATTTTTCATTAAACTTCTTAACAGAGATGTATGTCAGGACCTCAAGCCAAAAATTTTTCCATCTGGTCCTCCCACTTAGTCAATAGGTACATACTGTATGACAATTTCTGAGGAATTTTGTTAGTGCAATAATGTGGCATCAGAAATATTGTAAACAGTACAACTTATGGGAAACAACACAATTGAAGAGAGGTTGTGAATGCTATTCTCTCTCTGTACTTTTTCCCCTTAGTTACTCCACCCCTCGCTGTAACAGACGCCACTGGAAAAAGAAAAGAACTAGAAGAACTCACAGGGAAGGAAGGTAAATGGAACGTATGTTTGAATTGATTTCTGAAATAAATATGTACGTGTTTTCAGCTATCACGCCAAGTGTAAAGCGGTTCTTTATTGGGATTAGGGTCTGCAAAATCTGCGAGCAAGCGAGCCATGTGAGCCACGGTGCAAGCCATTCGAGTTATGAGAGTATTTTTTTTTCTTCGATTGGTCCAGAGTCTGGGAGGTCGTAGATCATTTCGTGCCCGACTATCACTGAACTATCAACTGCCCGCCATCTTGAAAGCGGAGGTGATCCTGGGGACGAGTATAAACAGTACAACCTCATTCCCAGGCAAGTAATTCATGGCAGTCTCCATATAGACTCCCTGTTACCCAGTCTCCATATAGACTCCCTGTTACCCATTCTCCCTGTGTACCCTGTGTACCCTGTGTACCCTGTGTACCCTGTGTACCCTGTGTACCCTGTGTACCCTGTGTACCCT